ACGTCCTTCTGCTCCTAGAGAGGAGGGAATCGTGGCATGGTTTTATGTTCCGTGATAATTTTCGGCTTCCTACTGACTTTTTCCGATGTCAATTACACATGGGGAAAGGGCTACACACGATCCCGATTGGGCCTGGATACCTTTTGGGTGAACCAGGCTGGCCGCTCAAAGTATGTAAACTTATGTAATGCGGCGCCCCTACCCACCAAGCAACTGCCTGGTGGGTAGGTGAGCGCCTCGACACCCTGTGCCCTCTAGATAAGTGAGAGCCTGGCGCTCTACAGGTAGAGATAGACAGCGACAACCTTTCTCAGCTTTCGGAAAACTTGCCACCGTTCTTTCCTGTACATCGGTGTTCTTTGCGTTACAACAATTGATTGACGAAATGTGCCTTTCTCCGTTGGCGTTGGGTCTTTGCGGCGCGGCTTGGCGATGCTACTATCAATCTCCGATGATCACTGTTTTAGGAACGCCCGATCGCGCCGGTCTCAATTTTGCAGTGTGTCACACGCCGAGCTCGGTGGCGGGATTCAAGAGGGATCTTCTGTTCACAGTGCGATCTATACGTCAATGATCACCAAAGTTCCCAGAGAGGACACAGAGACATAAAGTCTAGACTGAGCCATGCAATTGTTAAGACGTCATTAGTATGACGCCCTAGGCTAGGTAGCTGCTTCGGTAAGGATGGCCTGATCTTCGCCCCACTGTTGAAAATCTGGGTAAGCAATCGGTAGAAGGACGGAAGCATGATAAAGAAATATATAAGTAAGCTAAGGCTAAAATACTTTACGGTCTGTTCCTTGTTTGGGAATTGGAGGTAGCGTACCTCTACCGAGTACGACTTTTCGGCCAATAGGGTGTTGAGGGTAAGATTGCGCTTTAGTTTCTGTAAATATGGGCCGGACATACCCGGGCTCGGTACAGGAACAGGATGGATTCTGTAGGTTTTCAGAAGTAGTCTGACGAGGTCCTATCGAGTACGGTAACTAACGAACAGGTTTCTAGCGCTAGTCCCGCGCCTTCAGCCGAAAGCAACCCTACCAGTCTCAGGCAGGCTTGGGTATTCTCGCGCCCTGGCATGCAAGGTGGAATCTTTCACTTCGTAGGTTGCACCCTCCGGTCTGGGCCGCCGCGGTTGGGTTATGTTGTGTTGCGAGACCGGCTTCACGTTGGTGAAGCCTCTATGAAGATGCAAGTCAACGTCAAACCATATTTGCGACGACCATAGAGTTGGCGTGCGATCCTTCGCTCGCTCCAGAACTCATTTCCCAGTCGTAACATTGGACGACCCTGACGCGGTTCAGGCGCCAAAACTCCCCTGGCTGATGATTTGCCACGCTCAGGTCGAGTCTGCTGACAACCCCCTCATGATATAAATTCCCTGATTGGCGGTGGAGGGGCACGGAGGTATCCTGATAGACTTCTCTCCATTAGTTTGCCCTCTGCACGGGGCCCTGAGACCTTTTACAAGATCGGCTCAGTTCTCGCAGTTAGTTCAGTAGCGTTGAGCATCAGCGAATCCTTTTCCCTCGTTTCTGACCAATCCTCGTTATTGACCATGGTTACTATTGTGCGGGAACCACCAAAACGTGTAATTCCGGAATCTGAATTAAAAACTACGGAGCTCATGGTGACACAATAGGTTCTCATCAATCGGATCAGATTATCAACTTATGTAATGAAATGTGTGATATTTTGGCACTAATTCACAGGCAACGCCCTTGATTTGTGCTGAACGGCTTGCGCTATGACCGATACGGAAAGAGAGGAGACAATAGTCGAACGAGGCTTGTATTTATCATGTTTCTTCTAAAGGGTCTGACAGAGTCTACCAGTACACTCTGACACGCTCCCGTCAAAATATAAAGATGGCCTTCCATATCACGGAGATCGTGCAGGTTCTCAACAGATATTCTTTCAGCGTGCAAGGAATGCCTGATCTTCACAAACTACTCAATTGAATTCTCCAAACTCTCATAGGTGCATTCGAGAGTCCTGAAGCTGCGGCACGAATATGCCCGTCCGTTTCTATCGATTCGCCCCCTGCCTACCGCTATCGAAGTACATCCGCAATGCTTGTTACAAAGAGCAAAAGGGAGCTGCTACGAGCTTCACTGACCTCAAAAACGTGGGGGAGGGCGGAGATTCTGCGGAAACCGCGTGGTCGACATCTGTCTGTGCCCGTGACAACGACTCCACCAGGCGGGAGAATCTACCGCAATGCTCTCCAAGTAGTGCAGGAGCGCAAACCGGCACATCCAGTTCTGCTCGTTCATCGTAAGGCGACGGCGGATGCCGCCAAAGAGTTCCAAGCGCTCTTTCCGGGTAAAATAATGTATGCTGTGAAAGCAAATCCTTCACCCGATCTACTTCAGCTGCTCTTCCAGACCGGCGTCACCAGGTTCGACGTTGCCTCCGTCAACGAAGCCGAACTAGTCAAGAGCGAACTGGGGCCGAAACAGACAACCTTGTGTTTTATGAATCCAGTCAAATCTCCCGAAGCAATTCGAGAAGCCTACTGCTGCCACGGAATTCGAGTATTCAGTCTGGATGACGTGGAGGAGTTGGATAAAATTGTGCAAGCCACCTCTGTAGGTTCGAGGCGCGCCCGCGATTTGACGTTGTGTGTCCGCGTCCCGGTACCGTCGCGGCACGCGAAATTCGATCTTGCGACAAAATTTGGCCTTCCGAGGTCACAGGCTATAGCTTTAATACAAAAAGCAAGAGTCTCAGCTGAACGCCTGGGAATCTGCTTCCACGTAGGAAGCCAGTCGATGGCGATCGAGGACTTCCAAGACGCTTTGCGAGAGGTCTTGGCGCTGGCGACGGAAGCGGGGGTCCAAGTTGACATCGTCGATGTCGGTGGGGGGTTTCCGGCCAAGTATCCCCACATGCAACCACTGGCGCTTCCACACTACACGCGAGCGATTGGCGCACTCTTGCGCACCCTCCAGGCATCGCTAGGCCCCCAACTTGAACTTTGGGCGGAACCAGGCCGACTGCTCTCGGCGCCATATCATTCGCTGCTCGTTCGAGTTGAGAAACGGCGGGGCCTCAAACTTTATATCAACGACGGGCCCTTCGGCAACCTCTTCGATACCGGGCGTTTCGGGTGGCGATATTTTGTAAGGCTGATTCGCGATCCGCCTTCGGACCGCCCAAATTTGCCCTTCGCATGTTACGGGCCAACCTGCGACAACGACCTCATGCCTGGCCCTTTCGATCTCCCATCTGACATTCAGACTCATGATTATTTTGAGATTTTCGGTGTGGGCGCCTATGGTTGCGCCCTGCAGACGCGGTACAACGGTTTCTATACGGTTGGATGCTTGGAAGTGGCCGAACAATCATAGAGATCTGGTATCGCGCATTTTCCCGTCCACACAGCGATCAGCCATCTCTACCTCCAATTGGAGCGAGGTAGGAGCCGCTACGGCAAGAGAAGGTGGATCGAAGGAACTAGCCCGATCTCCTGCCTGTCACTCTTTGTTTTATTCTAGTTTCCAGTCGCAGACTCTCTCCTTCGCACACAGACCGACCCTTGAACTGAAAGGCCTAGCCACCTTTTGCCATTGCGGCACCCAATCCCTTGTCCCTTCATGGCGTCGCCAAGATATATTGCATCCGTGGACTGATTGGATAAGAAGAAAACCGGGGGATAAGAGCGTTGTCCATATTTCTGAGCGCTTAGCGCCATTCGGTTTTTGGATGTGGTATCTATTGTCACAGTAGGGCCGCTTTTTAGAAAATGTGACCGCGCAGATTGTTCTATACGAACGGATTCCGCCGTGTGCTAAATTCCCAGGTCACACCATGGAATGAGTTGAAATCCCTAGGAGAAATTTTGTCGAGCACATACTTTATATACAGTATCCAAGAGTGGAGAAAGTGGCGTTTTCAGCATTTGTTGTGTCTTTCTCAAAGTAGGCCAGCGCCTTGGCACCCTCGTGCCTTCAGATAGGTTTATGCACGCTTTCAGAGAGTTTTCTTTCGTGTCCCCGACCGCCGTTCCTGAATTTTTAACATACAAGATCCTGTGGCAGGAGAAGATTTCTCCTGAACCCTGCCACGCAGAATGCCGCCTAACACTAGTCAAGTCACAGGCGGGATCGCTGAAGATCGCCGTTCCCGAGGTGTTCGTGAGACGTGATCGCCGCGAGTATCAGGAGCTTCTTCAACACTGGAAATGTGAGGGACTCTTTAGGACCACCGGTAGATATAGCGACGTAGGCAGCGAGCCAACTGCTAGATGGCAGCTTTAGGGAGTGTCTATACAGAGATTATCCACTGTGTTGGAAGAGGTCTCAGGAGGAAGCCTGCTCCTCCTGTGCGATAAGCTGGGATAGGGCCTGCAGGCTTGGCACTTCCCAGGATAGCCTAGTAGATCCCAGAGAAGGCTAGGCAGACCGTGACATTTCTACTAAAATACTAGATCTCAATTACTATAAATATTTAGAGCTTCAAATCTTAATAGGTTATAGATAACTATAAAATATAGTATATATTAAAATTTAACGCTAAAATATACACTAGTAGCTAAGATATTCTATCTTAAATTTCGCTAATTTTGGTGTAAAATGAAGTGCTATACACCTACGTTATTTCTACATTTAATACACGGCCAGCTTATTATTCGACCTATTAGTCATAAGGGATGCATGCGCCGACGTTATACGAGCCTAGGGACCAACGGCATATCTGGCACACGCAAACGGATAGCATTGGTGTGTCTGCAGAGGTGGTTTTGCCCTTTCGTTTTCGTGAGAGAGGACCGCACCTGTTTATTTACGAGATTTGTACGGTGGCAACAAGCTCTGTCCTGAACACGCCGACGGTCTGTCGGAGGAAATAACTTTTTTGAAGCTTGCGATGAGACCGGTAACGGCGATTGCCCCTGGTGATCTTACAACTCATAGGTACGCTTAATTCTACATCTGGGGAAGCGTTCGCACAGAACAGAGTCCTCTCGACTTCGCCCATTACCTCGTTTGTCTTGACCTTCATCCCTGCGACATCGCCGCCTCCAAGAGTATCATAGGTGAGTCAGGGTCCTTCCTCGTCCATTGGACGTTTAGTCGAGGATCGACGTCATGCAGCATCGACTGAAAGTCGGTAATTGTCCTCTCTTTGGAGAAGAAAAGAGACAACATGGTCAAGTCCATGGCTCGCGCCACAGATTCTTCGGCTGGGGTGACTCTGGGGCCCGCTAGGACATCTGGCAGCACAAATTCGGCAATGAAGAGCTTGCTTCCCGGTCTCTGCAGTCCGGGGCGCAGATTCTGAAGGATCCTGACGCAATCAATGTCATTCCAATCGTGTAGCACCCTCCTCAAGAAATAGCACACAGGCCCCTCCGTCACCACGGGTTGCGGCTGGAAGAAGTCGTGAACCGAGAAGCGTACCCGGTTTCGCAGTTCACTCGGAATCTTTTCCTCGGCGAGGTCCCTCTGTTCGGCTAAATCTTGCACCAAGAAGCTCAAGTTGCCGTACATCCGCGCTGCGTCTATGGCAAACTGACCCCAACCTCCCCCCACGTCAACCACCAGCATGTTACCCAGTTCGTGGCCCGGGAACATAGTCACGGTGTGGTCCGGACTCAACATCGACACGAGCCCGGCATGAAATGCTTGCAGGCTCAAGGAACTGGTAGGAGATCCTAGCTCGTCCCAAAAGCTGCGACCGAAAGTGAGTTCGGCCGCCGTCGGTCGGGGTTGGGTTGACTTGTCCATCGATAAGACATCGACCAGTCTGAAGCTCGGGTGCATGATCTCGCGTGAGAGCACCAATCGAAGCCAATCCGCGTGTTCTACCATGGCTTTGGAAAGTTCAGTATGCATAACCACGCCGGATCCGGGGGCTGTTTCCTGGAAAATGCTCGAACAAAAGGCGAATCGAAAAATTCGTTCGAGGATGGGAAGTTCAATCCCGAGAAGCGCCGATATATCACCGAGGGCGCGAGAGCCGCCGATTGGTACGGTAGACGCGACGTTGAAAGAAACCATCACCTGGAGCACACCGAGCCTGACGCGGCCCACTTGAGCCATCTCCATGAGGACATCTCGAGGTCTTTCGAGCAGAGTGAGTATTTCTTCGCGATGACCCATCGGTGAAGTTGTTCTGTCGACAGACGTTTGACCGCGATCCTCTAAGATGTTGGACGATCCAGTATCTAACGAGCCGGAGCCATGGCTCTGGCCACAGATATTGTTCGCAGACATGGGTACGGCCGATCTGCTCGGTGATGTGAGAACGGATGATGTGATGGCTATGGGCCTGACAAAAACATGTGGTTCCCTTAAAGGGAAACGGGAGGAACGGGATAGCAAGAACAAACGATGTCCGCTCATTATATAGGTATAGATGACTTTTGACTTGTTCTTCCAGCTGACCTCAAGTATGCTGCTTCCGTGATGGCTATTGGAACCAACGAACTTCATAACGTGAAAGTAACGTCGCCTTTCGGAATTACAACTCTTTTTTATTGGCCGATTATGAGACGAGTGCTCAAGGACTAAGTGCATCCGCAATCCAGATCGCAATACGTAACCTATGCGGACTCACCAAGACGTAAGCCCCACACTATAAAAGACCAAATAAGAAAAGAAAGTATGAGTTTCGATCCAATCGGAGGGAGTATTATCGGTTATGACTTGTTGCGAAGCCAAAAATGTAACAAGCTATATAGAGGAGCTCAGGAAATTTGTATAATTTTGATTCAGCTCATATTTCCTGCGCTCCTTGAAAGTCCAAGTTAGCAATCCAGCGTGAGCCCACCCCTACCCCAACGGTTGTGTTCGCTGGGCGACGACAGATAGATGGTTTGTTAAACGCTTAGGCCTTTCACTGGTTTAGAAACCCCTCGCGAAAATGGATTCGGACGGCATTCCCATCGACTACGTCGATGTACTCATCATTGGGGCGGGCCCCGCCGGCCTGATGATGGCCCTTTGGATGAGTTACTACGGCATCCGAACCCGAATTGTAGATAAGCGGACCACGAAGGTAAGAGAACGGCATACCCCCGTCCTACCATCTCCTCTCGAGTTTGTCCATTGGACTAAGGTGCTGTAGGTTTTCGGTGGTCAAGCGGCCGGTTTACAATGCCGCACACTCGAGATTTTCGACTCATTCTTTGGTCCTCGCATGTGGTACGAAACAAACCATATGATCGAAATCTGTTTCTGGAATCCGCCATCGCACGCCGCTTGCGACTCTCAGCATCCGCAAATCGAACGTTCCAATCGCATCCCGGATACCATTCCCGGCATCTCCCGCTTTCAGCAGGCAAATGTATATCAGGGATGCACAGAACGACTCATGCAGGAAGCGATCAAAGAGAATAGCATCCGAAATGAATGTAATGGGCAGGGGAGAGACGGAGAGATAAAGGTTGAGTATGGGGTAGAGCCGATCGAGCTCACCGTAGAGAAGAGTCTGATGGCGGACGGCGACGCATATCCCATTCAGGTGCGAATGCGACATTTATGCGAGGCAGACGCGACGTCAGGGCTGTCGACGACCAATTGGGACGGCCCCTCGATGCGACACGAGCTCCAAAAGCGATGCTTATCGACGACCGACCGGGAGAAGCTATGCCGTATGAGGAATGACGGAAAGGTAAAAGTAGGGACTCACGAGGTGGTCAACGCGAAATACTTACTAGGCGCGGACGGGGCTCACTCTTGGGTGAGACAGGAGCTAGGGTTCCGACTCCAGGGCGACAGCACCGATGATGTCTGGGGGGTGATGGATATCATCCCCATCACCGATTTTCCGGACATTCGTCTGAGATGTGCTATTCACAGTGCTGAGAGTGGAAGTGTGATGATTGTTCCTCGCGAGAACAAACTCGTGAGACTGTATACCCAACTCTCGGGCCGAGCCTTGCAAACAAATGGGGATGGTGGTAAAAGGGTGGACAGGTCGACGATCACTCCGGAATCAAATCATCGCGGCAGCACAGAGAATCATGCGACCGTACAAGATCACCTACAAGTGTTTGGACTGGTGGACGGTATACCAGGTGGGCCAGCGAGTCTGCGATCGCTTCTCCTTGGACGAACGAGTTTTCCTGGCCGGTGACGCCGTTCATACGCACAGTCCCAAGGCGGGACAGGGCTTGAACGTCTCTATCCAAGACTCCTACAACTTAGGATGGAAGCTGGCGGGGCGCTTGAGAGGGCTCTTGGATCCAAGGGTCTTAAAAACGTACGAGACCGAGAGGAAACACATTGCGGAGCAACTCATCGATTTTGACCGCCGCTTCAGCCGGATGTTTAGTGGACGGCCGTCCAGGGATATAATAGACCAGGATGGTATCGACATGGAGGAGTTCAAGGCGGTCTTTGAGAAGGGAAACATGTTTTCCAGCGGGATCGCCGTAGATTACGGAGCAAGCATCATCGTCTGCAAGAGGGAGCAGTCGACTAAGCAACGTGATGGAGCGAAGTGGGCAGAGGAAGGCGACGGTCGACCGATGGGGGACCAAGATAAAGCCGGAAATGTGAAGGTGGGCATGCGAATGCCGTCGTTCAAGGTCTTGAATCAGTCCGATGCAAGGCCGTGGCATTTTCAAGAATTGTTGAAAAGCAACGGGGCCTGGAGGGTGGTGTTATTTGTCGGAAACATCACGGAGCCGATGCAGAAGAAGAGGCTTCAAGCGCTCGGTGAAAAGTTGGATGGAACAGGATCCTTCTTGAAACGTTACACACCTGCGTTACAGCGGTACGATTCGGTTATCGAGCTGTTGTGCGTTCATTCTGCCCCGAGGCATGAAGTGTCCGTCTTTGACTTCCCAGAGGTCTTCCGGCCGTGGGATGATAATGACGGGTGGGACTACTGGAAGATCTATGTTGATGACATGGTAAGAAAACTGGAGCAAATGTCACCTAGGTCGGTGCTGGCGGCTAATGAGGTAACCCAGAGCTACCACGAGGGCCATGGCGAAGCTTATCACAATTACGGCATCGACGCTGCCACTGGATGTGCCATGATTTTGAGACCGGACCAGCACGTGAGCTGGATTGGCCATCTCGATGATTACGAAGGGATGGATAAGTTTTTCTCTCCCTTTATGATTGACAAGCGTGGGAGCTGACTCAACACTGGTGAAAGAGCTATCGGCAAATATTTTGTCGCGAAGAATATGGCCATGGACATAAATCCAGGAGTTGGAGGTTATATATTGCCTAGATTAAGAATCAATCACTACTCAACTCACATCGTAATGTATGGGTTATTCGTATTCCGATACACGAATGGGAATATGCTTACCAGTGATGAGAATCGAAAGGAAACGGTTATTCCCTAGCGTTGTCTCTGAACAACCAGATCGAATAAATTACGAATTCCCTTGTAGTTGTGAGAGGGGGCGCGGAGTGGTGTTTTGTCCGTAGCTCACCCTGGTTGGCATCGCGCGGCGGAGAGGCCACAATCGGTGTCTTCCCCCAGCTCTACATCCTCTCTGAGCTGTTGAGTAATGACTTGTTCGCAGACAGCGTTACCTTCTGTAAGCCCATCCGACGGGATGAGGCACGTTGGCGTGGACCAAGCCAACTTCACGGTGCGAAGAGCGTTGCGTTTCAGCGGAGGAGAAATGAATGAGACCCACCGGCGAGACTGCAACAGCCCCCTTTTCGAGATAGATTCAAGGGGAATTAATGTTGATGGGGAAGGTGATATCGATAGTGAGAGATACATGTAGCTTTTAGCATGTCAATTTGATGGCAATGGGGCTGGCCTCGTAAGTGTCTCTGAAATTCATGACGAGGAAAAATTGACACTAGCTGAATTAGGTGTGGTAACCTTCTGCCGAGCACTAAGCGAAGTCGCCGTTGTACGAAGTCGCCGTCGAAATCGCCGCCCCTACTTGTAGGCATTCCCGTACTGCCCGAGGTGCTGTCGGAAATAGCTCGCGCGCATGCTTCACGTGATCTGGGGTGGCATGCGGCCCTGACACATTTCATCCCAGGTCTCTTGACGACACACATCGCCTCGCTCTCAGGCGAGTCGCCATATCTCTTGTGAGCCTCGTCGATATCGCCATGCTTCGCAAGAGGGAATTGGGCAAGAAGGCGCTTCTCTTCCTACGGTGAGATGAACCCCGTATCGCTCTAGTATCACTCGCTCCTGCTCATCTGAGTCGTCTCTCATCTTATCTTCATCCATACCGCCGTCCGGAATTTGTGATTCAGACGTGCCTGACGTCTACGGCCCGTGAGCTTTC